CTATATTATTATATGAGTGTAGTACTGCAGTAAATCGATAAAGGTTTTATGTATGCATAATTTGGATCTTTCATATTAAAATATTGCACACACGGACGACATGGTATTCGTATGAATATTTATAAGACAAATTTACATATTGAAATTAGTTCACTTACCAAAAAGTGCATTTGATTTGATTTGATACATCTCCAACCACCACTTGTTTTTATTTTGTACTCTTCAAATTTCTCAAGCATTTCTGCTTGTGAAGCGCAAACAAGCACTCGGTCACTCTTCGATGGAAGCCATCTGTTAACACCTGAGTTAACACCTGTCATTATGAAAATGATCAACTTGTCGTTAAGTGAAGGTCACGTCCCAGAAGCATGGAAAGTTGCCATTCTTATTCCAATTCTAAAAAAATACGGTCTTGATCTAGTCTTTGAGAACTTCAGGCCCGTCAGTAACCTGTCATTCGTTTCTAAAGCTACGGAAAAAGCAGTTGTTAGCCAGTTATTTGAGCATTGTGCTGATAATGCTCCTCTTCCTAACAACCAATCGTCATATCGTCAATTTCACTCTACCGAAACAGCTCTCCTAAGAGTCCACAATGATATCCCTATGAACATGGACCAACAGAAAGTAACTCTTTTAGTGCTCTTGGATTTGAGTGCCGCCTTTGACACCATTGATCATGAAATTCTGATGGATATATTGAAGTTAGAATTTGGTGTGATCGTAAATGCCTTAAAGTGGATTAAGTCGTTTCTTTCCTGTAGAAAGCAGCGTATTAATATTAAGCAAAAGTTTTCCGCCAATTTTACGTTGAACTGTGGAGTACCACAAGGAAGCTGTCTTGGACCGGTCCTTTTCCTATTATACGTGTCTCAACTGTTCCAGATTATTAACAGGCACTTACCTTCTTCCCATGGGTATGCAGATGACACTCAGCTTTATTTATCTTTCCGTCCTGAGTCACCCGTTGTCCAAGACCAAGCTATTCAAACTATTAATAATTGCATCGTCGAAGTTCGTGCTTGGTTAGTTTCACATAAATTAATGTTCAATGACACTAAAACGGAATTCTTGATAATTGGAACTCGCCAGCAGCTGTCTAAGGTTACAATCGACTCGATTGAAGTTGGTGATGCTGATATAAAACCTGTACAAGAAGTCCGAAATCTAGTTTCGTGGTTTGACGAACATATGTCGATGAATGTCCATGTGGGCAAGGTTTGCAGCAAAGCATTTAGGGGCTTGTACAACATCCGACAAATAAGGAAGTTTCTCTCCATCGAATCAACTAAAACGCTCGTACATGCCTTTGTGACGTCACACTTGGACTACTGCAATTCTCTCTTGTTCGGCAGTCCCCAATACCAACTTCAGCGTCTTCAACGAGTTCTCAATGCCGCTGCTAGAGTGACGTGTCTTATACCAAGATGTGCTCATATTACCCCTGTCCTGATGCACCTTCACTGGCTGCCTGTCAAGTTTCGCGTTGATTTTAAAATTGCACTTCTGGTATATAAAGCTCTCCACGGGATGGCGCCAGGCTACATTATGGAACTGTTGTTAGAAAAACCGAACTGTTGTTATCAACTGAGATCTGATTATCAGGGACTACTTTTTATCCCAAAAACTAGAGCCAAGACTCTTGGTGATCGAGCATTTGTGCATGCAGCTCCGTCAATTTGGAACATGCTACCTTCTGGTATTAGAAATAGTAAAACAATTGACTGTTTTAAATCTCAATTAAAGACTTCCCTTTTTAAGAAAGCTTTCGATTCTAACTTTTAGATTTATAGACACCTATACCTTAATTCTTAATATTTTAGCTACTTGTATATAGTATAACTTCATTGTTGTAAAGCGCTTTGGAATATTTTATATAATTTAAGCGCTGTATAAATCTTTATATATTATTATATTATTATTATATTATATTGCTTTGGTTTCGCGCGTTTTTTTCCAATTTCGCGCACTAATTTATTTGAATTTTAAAGATGGAATACCGCTGACTCGTATGTATTGCAGTTTCAGATATGTACGTATCTTGTCTATGATCTAGTGCCGACCAAGAAAATGCCATCTGATGAAATGTCTGGACTAGAGCCAGTTGTGTTTCTGCCTAAAGGTGCTAGAGTTATGTTGACAATGAATTTGTGGTCAAGTGTTGGCCTGTGTAACGGTGCAACTGGAACAATTGTTGACATTGTCTTCCAGAACAACCAGAATCCACCTGACTTACCAATTGCAGTAATTGTGAACTTTGAGAATTACAGAGGTCCACATTTTTCAGAAGAACGACCAATGTGTGTTCCTATATGTCCTATCACTGTCTCATCACAGACTGAAGGTGGTTTCCATGAGCGGCAACAGCTGCCTCTTAGACTTGCTTGGGCCTTAACTATACATAAAAGCCAAGGACTTACACTATCAAAGGCTTGGATAGATGTTGGAAAATCTGAAAGAACTGCTGGAGTATCTTATGTTGCTATTAGTAGAGTCAAAACCCTCGCATCATGTGTCATTGAACCGATGACTTATGAACGGTTAACAAGCTTGAAATCTTCAGCTAATTTACAATATAGGCTTCAGGAAGAAGACAGGCTAAATCAGTTGGCACAAGCAACTTGCAATGCAGTAAATATAGAGTACGTACACCATTGAGTTTGACCCTGTTGAAGATTACAATGTTATGAATCTAATTATGCCATGTGTTGTATATTACTATGCAGTTATTAATAATACATATGTTTATTATTTTATTAATTAAATAATAGTGCATTGATATATTATATATCGCCATTAATTTGAATATAACTGTATGTATGAATATCTCGATGCCATTATGCTGACAATGAACACAAAAAAATGGTAAGTAATAAAGTATTGACGATTGTCTTCCATCCTTCCGGCGTCACTTTTAATATTTCCGTCACTAACAATATTCTTTTTTATTTTAGTTTCAATTCCCACTTATTAATAATGAACATTGCAAGATTTGATGGAAACAGTTGATCAATGAACGTATAAGCACGCAGTCTCGACAGTACGAATTATAGACAGGAAACGGACCTACAATATTCACATTCGGGCGAGGTTAAATACAGCTGATTCCATTAATCCACGTACTGTTTCAAAATCAAATATATACCGTCACATCCTTTTTCTGGACTGTTCTTAATGATGATGTACATAAAGTGATGGACATATTAAACAATGGTTTATCCACGCGAGTAAGAAGCGATATATTTTCCAGTGGCGATAGCATGCGGAGTTCAAAAATTACGAATAAAGATTGTCTGTATCACTGGACATTGACATTTCCGACCATCTATCACAGACATTGACACATCAAAATAACTCCGCGAAGAGTTCAACAGAAAGAATATTGGTATAATATCTGGACTAATTTGGCATAAATCAATTGTTTGAACAGCCAAATTAAAAGTTGTACGAGTGACAAAATCATTCAATAATATTCACATTTTATCATTTATATTATGTGTCAACTATCAAAGTCGCACTGTCAAGTATATTAAAATATACTTTTCATAAGATTAGATGTAAGATATAATTGTACGAAAGTAACTGAGGAACGACGATGTGTAAGACAATAAATCATACATACAGTGAAAAACGCTCTTTTTGTAGCACATTCTACATGTACATATCGGCAGCATTTTCCTTGCGATAGTAACTCCTATAGTATCTAGCAGTGGCCTGTGTCTAGCAACTGTTACTGTGCCTAGCAATTTGCTACAGCGTCTGTCGAAAGATTTTACCGGATGTGCCCACAGTTTCACTCCCCTCTATTTCTTATTGTAAGTTTCGCGCGTATTTGCAAAACCGTTACATGCGATACAATGTACAGCGGACGACCATGTGAAAATAGCCTGCAAAGCAGGCGCGTCGAAGACTCGAAGGGCGACAATATTTATACGAAAATATTACGAAAGTTTATATGGCTTGTTTACGTATTTAAAAACAGTGTTTCAGTGTTTATATGCAAATTAGCAAACCAAAGAAGACAAAGACTACCTATTCACAGATTTTACAGCCATATACAGGTACGCAAGTCTCGAAAAAGAATACTGCTGTGCTCCCTTGCGCGAACCCGAATAAGATGGAGCTACACCTGTTCTCGGATGCCTCTAAAGACGCCTACGCATCAGTCTCTTATTTAGTGTGCCACTATGAAGACGATAGCCCTATATCACGCCTTGTCGCATCAAAGAGCCGTGTAGCCCCCACCCAAGCGATGACGATTCTCCAGACTGGAGCTTATGGGTGCCATTCTCTCAAGCCGTTTAGCTCAAAGTCTTCTGAAAGTCCTGACTGTTGACCGAGTGATCTTTTGGACTGACTCCGAGAATGTGTGGTATTGGGTACGAAACCACAGCCGGCAGTTTAAACCCTTCGTAGCCAACCCTATCGCAGAAATTCAACGGACGACCAGTCCCGGGCAATGGAGGCATGTACCTGGGATACAGAATCCAGCAGATCTAGCGACCCGAGGTCAATCTGCTATGGAACTAGCCAAAAGCACATTTTGGTTGGAAAGGCCATCGTTCTTGAAAGATAATAATAATAATAATAACAGTCTTTATTCATACTCAAGAACACCCGTCTGTGAGTTTACATTATAAAAATATATAAGATAAAATTATTGATATCTATAAGGTAATAACTAGATATATACAGTTATGGATAAAAATATTAATAATGTTAAAAAGGTAAAGGTTAAAATTGGTTAAAAAAAGTTAAATAAACATCGATTTACAAAAGAACTTTTAAATCGCTCTGTTCTCACTAATGGAAGTTCAAACTCGTGTCCCCTCGGCCTAAGGTGTCTATTTAATTTATCTGGTAAAAGCTCCTGTAGTGCATTATCTTTATTATGTATTACTTTTTCCCAAAGTTTCTTGTCCCTTTTGATGCTTATCTCCTTAATATTCAATTTTTCCGATATGTAACCATTTCTGTGAGCGCGATTGATGAATTTGTCTATTTGACTAATGTATTTATTGAAGTATGCGCCTCCCCAAAGTTCTATGCCGTAAGTGATTTTAGGCATAATTAAAGTGTTAAACAGCATGTCCAGTTGTTTGATTG